ATTCACAGGCAGGAGTGTTTAGTCAAAGGCAGGATTGTATATTCACATGCTGGATTGTATATTCACAGGCAGGAGAGGGTTTTCACAGGCAGGAGTGTTTAGTCAAAGGCAGGAGCAAGCATTCACAGGCAAAAGTGTGTACTCACAGGCAGAATTGCATATTCACAGGCAGGAGTGTATATTCACAGGCAGGATTGTATATTCACAGGCAGGATTGTATATTCACAGGCAGAAGTGTGTATTCACAGGCAGGAGAGGGTATTCACAGGCATGAGTGTTCAGTCACAGGCGGGAGAGGGTATTCACAGGTAGGAGTATTAAGTCACAGGCAGGATTGTACTGTTCACAGGCACTGGTGTGGTACTCGATGAGCTCTTCCTCTTTTTCTTCTCTTAAAATAAATAATGGATCTCCCACTTCCTTGTTAATGTCCTCACTCTGTTTGAGTGTTTTTTCTTGTTCAGTTCTGCCTCTTGTGTCTGAGAAGGTTCTGACACCACAGCTCCATCACTGGGTCCATGGCTCCATCCTCCACCTCAAACTGCAGTGTCATGTTCAAAAGTCGCCTCATTGTTTTTGACTCAAACACGCTAAAACTGACTAAACACTAAACAAATTAAGCTACACTTTAACTATAAAATCCAAACACTCTAAACATCACAAATCTCTCAAATCTCATGACTCACTCCCACTCTCCCTGTGGTTCTATTGACGCTGAACTTCCTTCCATTTCCTTCAACTTCTGCATCTTTTTCTTCTTGTAGATTTTTTGGCACCAAACTCAGATCCTCAGTCAGAAATGAGGTGGGGGGTTGTTTGTTCAGTGGGAATGGGGAGTGAAAACATAAGGAGGGTGGGAATATTTTCTCCACACACTGCCCATCTTTGCAACTGTCTCAGTTGAAATCTTGGGTCCCTGGCGTGATGTCACACCCCATATATGGATGTAAATGAGCTACTGTATTTCCAAAGCTGTGACTGAAACGGTGTGAAGTTGTCACAAATCCTATATTTTTACTGTCCAGATTACCTGATTTAACTTTTTTTGTGATTTCTTTTCAACGTTTGCTACATAATAGAGGTATTATTTGTTGTGTCTATTATATTTAGCTGGATATGTAATATAAAAATGGTGGGTGCTGCACTTTAAAGATTGACTTGATATAATTTGAATTCAAGAAACAACTCACCTGCTTTTCTTGAGAAAGGATTTATCCCTGCAGCATAGGGTGGGGAAGGAAATGTGCCAGGATGGGGGGCTGTGGGTAGGGATGGAGGATAAAGGCCAGCAATGGGTGGCGGGTCCTAAGAATATAAAGACTTTCCATCACCCAGCTGAAGCTTTGATTTTAAATTTGCCGTTTACCGTCAGTTGGACTCTTACAGTCTGAGTTGGGCCTTCCTGCTCCGACTTTTCCTCCTGAGCATCACTTTTGTTTTCTGGTTTTGATTTGAACCATCCTCTGAACCATCCCGTCTTAGTCTGTGTACACAGAAAAAAAGTCAAATCCAGGTTTCACTCTATTACATCGAGTCCCTCCAGGGTTTTGCAGCCTTTTGGTGATCAACCAAGTAATGCAGCTCAAAAATATCTGATATTGTTGCAGCTTTCTCAGAAAGACGGTTCCCAGCATTTTATGAAAATTCCCCAAGTTTTCCCTGAGTAAATCCTGAAATTCCAGGAGCTACTTCAGTCACATCATATGCTCCGTCTTAAGTGAGGGGTAGAGTCACATTCAGAAATGACAGGAAGTATATTGTAGCCTATACGACACATGAACACAGCAATCATTCCTAAAGGTTAATTATACTGTATAACACGACAAACTAAACAGCCACTACAGCCAATCAATCAGGATCTATCAGCAGGACATGGACTCATTGATACTGGAATACTATGTGAACATGTATATGACAAATAAAGAACCTTGAATCCTTGAATATACTACTAGTACTATACTTTACTGTACTGTAATACTTGAAAATGGTAACATCTCCAAAAGATCATTGTTTAATCAGCAGGACAGGGTTCAAATTCACTGAGGTTTTTCTGATTTTTTATGCTTTTCTCAAATTCACTGAGTTTTCCCTGTCTGGAAACTTTAAAAGTCATTTGCCATTTATTCCCCGATCACCACAGTTGCTGGGAACCCTGCAGAAAGTTGCATTGATTTAAAATTTTATTTATTCTTTAACGTGCTAGGAAAAAATTAATTCACAAAAAATATTTGCATGTGTTTATCTAACATTTCTCAAAAAAAAAAAACAGGATTCCTAAAATATGTCTTTTAAAGAATCAACAACACTTTTAAGCATTTTCTTAAAAGAGGAGCATTAAAATAAATAACATGCATCAACAAACATAAAGTAATATTATAAAATAAGAAAATAACGTTGGCGTTCATTTGATGCAATTAAATTTAGGTTACACAGGAAAGCTTTTCTATTGTGTGAGCTCATTTGTGTTGGTTTTCTCCTCTGCAGTGGTGCAATGAGGCCTGTTTTAATCAGTAATTATTTTTCTAAGACTTTCTCACACTGACCCGTTCTGACAAACACAGAGTCCTCACTTTGTAGTGCCTGCACCTTTTCCAACCCGTATGAGAAAGAGCTGAGGAGGGTAAGAAAACACTTTAACTTGAGCAGCTGGACTCTTCATGTTCACCTTCATGCCTCTGCTGTTTATGTTGTCAGCTGTTGCTGACTTAATAAACTTATATCTCTGACTGACTTTTTTCACTGCCAAATGCTTTCCCCCTTCATTTAGGAATAAAGCCCCTTCCTTGTTGTTTGTCACATCTAGCCAGGTCACGGGTCTGCTGACTGAACTGGAATGCGCACAGCTGTTCTTGTGCGTGTTTTGCAGTAGAAAAGTTTTATTTTATTGTAGTGAACTAGGCCTCCAACCAAAACCTGTCTCTGAAGACCTTCATGGGACAGGAACTGTTATTTCATTGATTTGAATCCAGAAATACAAATTAGCTCATCCAGAGACTTTCTAATTGTATCCTGAAGTAATCAATTGAAAGAACACTCTTCTTTTATATTATCATTACTATTTTACAATATCTTGATAATCAAAAGTGTGTTTAGTTCATATCATTTCTAATGTTGAAGTGAACCACTCATTTTAAATCAACTGTGAAACAGAATTAATGATTTTTAAACCTCATTAGACTTAGAAATCAAGTTAAATGTCTATTTACAAAGTAATTATGCATTTTGATCTTCTGTCTGAATGAGAAGTAGTGATGTCAGTCGAAAGTCAGAGACAGTCAGAAAACAAGTTATTAGAACGGACTGTATTGTTTTTAAACCTAGCAGACAGTAAAAAGAGAAACACTGGCATCTGCATTCCTCTCACTTCGCCATAACATTTCTCTGTCTGTACTAAACGTTCCTAAACATTCTTGCACTCGCTCTTGACTTTTAATAACCCTCTGACATCACTAGAACCACCCCCTGTTGGTTGTTTCAACCAATCAGGAAGTACTAAGTGACTGGAAGTGAAAACTCTTTTAAAAGTCGACACTTCCTCGAACTATGCAGTCTCATCTTGGAGTTCTTCTAGGTCTGCTTGAGTCTTCTTGAGTCTGCTCGAATCTTCAGTCTTCTCGAGTCTTGGAGCAGTCGGACTCAGTCTTTGATGGAGTCTTCTCAAGCCTTCTGGAGTCTACCACTTCTGAGTGGAAACTCTGACGGAGTCACAGATACTTGCTGTGAATCCACCCGGGCGTAACGCCTACAACTTCGAAGGGAGCTGGTCCTGTTTGTTGAACGGAGTAAATCGACACGACTTCTGACAATGACCAGCCGCTCTAACCGGAGACGCTGGAAAGGTAGCGTTGAAATCGACCCGGTACCGGAGCTGATTCATCTTCTGCGAAGGTAACGAGTCATCGCGCGCCAAGTGTACCAGAGGTTTGAGCTGGTGTTGAAAGAAGCGCGCTAATTCTGGTCAACAAAACCTACATCTCCATCCATCTCTTCTTTAAACCTCTAAATTCCTTCCTTTAAACTCTTCTATTTTGCTAGTAATCTTTCTAGATGCCTTCAGAAATGTCCTGTTGTCTTATTAGTAAAGCGTGCCAAGTTTTTATTAATCAGAACCAGATCAACAAATCCTTGTGTACATGCTTTGATGTTAAATTTTGATTCTGTTAAATAAATGACCGCATTTATTCTGATGGGTCAAACAAAATAACGTCTCATGTCACTGATTAAACAATGAACACAGTTATCTCGTCACATGGCATTAATTTAACTCGAAAAAGAAAGAACCCATTATATTTAAATTTTTAGAAGTGAAGGTGCAGCAAAGCTGTACCCACATTTCACTACATTATTTTTTAAGTTGAATTTTGTCTGTTCTAAGACACTGCGGCACACTGTAAAAAATACTTACCCTCACGTTTAGGAAATTGACTTGCACGAATTTCATCTGTAGCTAACTTTTGATGCTATAAACAATATTCTTGGATATGTTTTATTTTTATTTGTATTTTGCAGGCTCAAAATTACAGGAAGTGGAACCAGGCAGGGGATCAGACGTTTGGTCAAAACTGCAATTCTGAGCTAAATTTTCAGGAGCTGCTTGAATTTGCATTATTAGTTGTGTTAGTAGTTATTAGTGCTGCTTTCTGGAAGGACCGGATGTTCCATTTCATCTGTGATAAAAACTCGACCCACCTCTTTAGGAGTCACACCAGCCCCCTCAGACCCCTCCACAGCTGGAGGGACAACCTGCTGCTGTTGCCGAGTGATGTTGACCTCCAGCACCTAATTATCCATTTCAACATAAAACACCAAAATATTACGGTTACTTTTGGTTCAGTTAGCAAAGCAATATTTTTGGTTTGATGCTTCGTCCATAAACTTTTTCTTGTCCCGCTCATAACTTCTGATCCGCTCAAGAAAATGTAATGAAACTTGGTACATTTTTGTTCCACCACCAGACAGAGCATTGTGTAAACTTTTAATAAGTTAATTATATTATAAGTTATTATATTTAATAAGCTTATTAGCTCCAAGGTCAAAAACCAAGGTCAACATTTATAAAAGGTTGGCTTGGTGGGGCCACTGCTACAGATTGCTGCTGTTTGTCTGCAGGCATATGATGTGTCATACAGTACTCTGGTTTCTTATGTGATCATGTCAGACCAAGATGTTATCTTTTTAACATCTGAATAAAATATATTTCTCACCTGCTCTGCCCCCGAAAACAACTCTGCCTCTGCAGGAGTGATGAAATGAAAGTATCAGATGAGAGCCACAGTGTGAGGATGAAGACTGAATGAATGGTGTGTCGCTGGTTTCTCACCCTCAGCTGCTGAAAGATTACTAGGAGGAAAATGTAGCTGGGACGTGACTTCCACATTATCTGTGCTATGACAGCTGAAGTTTTGGTTCGTGGCCACAGTGGAGACTGGAGGAGCGTAGATCGCTGTCGCTGGCATGAAGGGAGGAGAAGTCTGAGGCCTGGACGAAGCAACAGACACAGCACGGTTAGTCAAGACCAGGTTTCTGTCTTTCAGTAAGCGTTCCCATCTGTGTGCTTTACAGAAGGGAACTTGAGAAAGTATGTTTCCTGTGAACATGCTTATTGCTGAAAGTTTTCTGCTGAAAATGTTTCAGCTCTAAACTGTTAATGTGAGCTGAATTTGAACAACTCACATTTGATGAAAGCAGGAAAACAAAAGCTGAACGCAGCAGAAAAACAGCTGAAATGTGCAGAAAAAGCTGAATGAGGCAGAAACGTAGCTGCAGTTAGCCAAATGAGATGGGATAGGCAGAAAAAAAATGAAATTGGCAACAAACGGTAGCTGAAAAAGCTAAAAAAATAAAACATCAGTTAATGAAATGAGCAGAAAGAGATGGTTGACCTTTTTATAAAAGAAGCACAAAAGGTGCAAATTATCAAAAATAGCAGAAAAATTGCTTTAAGATATGTATAAATACCAAAAGTCACAGCAGGAATATTGTCAATGAGCTGAACATTTTGATATATGAATTATTAAAATAGTACAAAAACAGCAGAACAAATTTTTACAAGCATTTGCACAATAAGGTCCATTTATGAATCTAACAAGGTTGAGTCAAGTCCTCTGGACAGATACATCTTTGTTGAAACGTTTCGTCTTTTATCCAAAAGACTTCTTCAGTCTGAGGAGCTGCAACAAACTCAGTCTCATAAACAGAACCTTCTCATAGTAGATCAACCAGTTTGCTGCTGACTGACACAACTAGAGTGAGAGTCATCAGGACTCTGTACCACAGAGCAGACAGCATCCCCACCAACTTAGGAGCCAGGCAGAAGGAGAAATCCCACACAAAACAGGCTCTAGAGCAATGTAGATATCCTAACTGGGCCTTCCTGAAAGCAGAGAAGAAACCCAAACAG